CCCCCTCACAAACACACCGATACCCCCCACTACCCCCCCCCTCACAAACACACCGATACCCCCCACTATCCCCCCCCCCCTCACAAACCCACCGATACCCCCCACTATCCCCCCCCCCTCACAAACACACCAATACCCCCCACTACCCCCCCTCACAAACACACCGATACCCCCCACTATACCCCCCCCCCTCACAAACCCACCGATACCCCCCACTCCCCCCCCCTCTCCACTATCCCCACCCAATAGACCTCCCCCCATCCACCCCACAACCCCCCCCCCCCCCCACACAAGCTCACCATGTGAGCTCACCCACCCCCCCACCCACCCCCACCACCTTCCCTCTCGCTCTGCACGCCGCTCACGCCGACTTCACGGATCGCCTGGGAGAGTTACGAGCGAGCAACTTTGCTGACGTGTGTTTGGGAATAGCGCACACACTAATATACACACACGCGCGTACAGACACACACACACACGCGCACAGACACACATACACACGCGCGCGTACAGACACACACGCGCACAGACACACATACACACGTGCGCACAGACACACAGACACACGCGCGCGCACAGACACACAGACACACACACGCGCACAGACACACATACCCACGCGCGCGTACAGACACACACATACACACGTGCGCACAGACACACATACACACGCGCGCGTACAGACACACACACACACGCGCACAGACACACATACACACGCGCGCGTACAGACACACATACACACGCGCGCACAGACACACATACACACGCGCGCGTACAGACACATACACACGCGCGCGTACAGACACACACATACACACGTGCGCACAGACACACATACACACGTGCGCACAGACACACAGACACACGCGCGCACAGACACACACGCGCGCGCACGGAGACACACGCGCGCGCGCACAGACACACACGCGCGCGCACGGAGACACACGCGCGCACAGACACACACACACGCGCGCGCGCACAGGCATAACCACGCGAAATCTCGACAACATTCCCGTGGATGCTCTGCAAAGCGACGACCCACGGGGCTCGCGTCGCCGAGACAGAGATGCGGTGTCGCCCTCTCGTTTAAAAAAAGGCGAGTGGCGTGTGGACAAACAAACAGAAAAATAAGCGAGTTGGACGTCGGCCGTCATGAAAAGGTAAATTAAGAGCTCGACAAGGCATTCACGTATCTTGAGAATGAGCAGAAGTAGGGGTGCGTTCACGCGAGCGGATGAGAAAGGTGCTCTGTGAGTTCACATCTCTCGTTGCAGCGTGTGCGCGCGTACTGCTGTGAGATTCGCGAAACGCTCCGAGTGAAGTTCCAGCGGCCGTGTTTGCACTCCGCACGTAGATAGCTTCTCTCTCGCACCCTACTTAGGCAGCCGTGCTCATCGGAAGTGCGGGGAAAGGACAACAAACTATGGGTCTCTGTGTGAGTCTGTGAGTCTCTTTTTTCTTTTTTTCTTTCTTCTTTTACGATCAGAGGAAACAAGAAGATGCTCGGTGTAGTCGGCACTTTGCTCCGTTAATAATTTCGTTTTTTTGTTTTTTATGCTTTGTTTTATGTAACCCCCCCCCCTCCCCTTTTAAATGAAATACCCAACAAAATATGTTTTTTCTGCTCTCCTTACCCCTTCCCTCTCTCTCTACCCCCCTCTCTGCCCCTCCTCTCTCTCTACCCCCCCTCTCTGCCCCCCTCTCACTCTGCCCCCTCTCTTCCTACTCCATTTCGCTCTCTCTCGCTCACTCTCTCGCTCTCTCTCTCTTTTTATAACTACGACAAGTGCTGCATCTGCACGCAGCCCTTCCCACAGTCAAACGGCCTCCGACGGGTAGCTTAGATCTGCATGTAGAGCTTTCCGGAGTCTCTGTGTGAGTATATGGGTCTCTCTGTGAGTCTATGGGGCTCGGTGTGAGTCTATAGGTCTCTGTGTGAGTCTATGGGTCTCGGTGAGTCTATGTGTCTGTGTGTGAGCCTATGGGTCTCTCTGTGAGCCCATAGGTCTCTGTGTGAGTCGTTGGGCCTCTCTGTGAGACTATGGGTCTGTATAAGTCTATGGGTCTCTGTGTGAGGCGTCTGTGTGTGGAGTCTTTGGGTCTCAGTGTGAGTCTATGGGTCTCTTTGTGAGTCTATGGGTCTCTCTGTGAGTATATGGGTCTGTGTAATCTATGGGTCTCTGTGTGAGGCGTCTGTGTGTGTGTGTGGAGTCTTTGGGTCTCAGTGTGAGTCTATGGGTCTCTTTGTGAGTCTACGGGTCTCTCTGTGAGTATATGGGTCTGTGCAAGTCAATGGATCTCTGTGTGAGGAGTCTTTGGGTCTCTGTGTGAGTCGATGGGTCTCTGTGTGAGTCGTTGGGTCTGTGTAAATCTATGGGTCTCTCTGTGAGTCTATGGATTTGTGTAGGTCTATGGGTCTCTGTGTGAGGAGTCTATAGGTCTCTGTGTGAGTCTACGGGTCTCTGTGTGAGTCTATCTAGGTATGTTGAACTTCTTTCACACCGTACTTAACCAAGCGTACTCAATCAGAGGTGCGATTGCATTCGTGGCTAAAAGAAACCTAACGCTGCTTTGGAACAGACACGTGTATGTATACGCTCGAGATTTTATGGAATTTCAGGAACAACGGATTGGTCAGACGGTCGCCCTTCTCAAACCACAGACGACCACGTTTGATGCAGTTGTATGTATGTTGAACTTCTTTCGCTAGCCAGCACCATCAATTCTGTAAATTATTGAACACTCATTGAGTCGTTATGCCTGGATGCAGTATTCAACGTGTACGTTAAAACCTGAACTTCTTTCGCACCGTAGTTAGCCAACCGTGCTAACCAGAGGTGCGGGGGAAGGACAACAAACTATACATGTCTGTGTGAGTCTACAGGTCTCTCTGTGAGTCTATGGGTCTGTGTGAGTCTACAGGTCTCTCTGTGAGTCTATGGGTCTGTGTGAGTCTACAGGTCTCTCTGTGAGTCTATGGGTCTGTGTAAGTCTATGGGTCTCTGTGTGAGGAGTCTATGGGTCTGTGTGAGACTACGGGTCTCTTTGTGAGTCTATAGGTCTCTGTGTGAGTCTATGGGTCTCTCTGTGAGTCTATGGGTCTGTGTAAGTCTATGGGTCTCTGTGTGAGGAGTCTATGGGTCTGTGTGAGACTACGGGTCTCTTTGTGAGTCTATAGGTCTCTGTGTGAGTCTATGGGTCTCTCTGTGAGTCTATGGGTCTGTGTAAGTCTATGGGTCTCTGTGTGAGAAGTCTATGGGTCTGTGTGAGACTACGGGTCTCTTTGTGAGTCTATAGGTCTCTGTGTGAGTCTATGGGTCTCTCTGTGAGTCTATGGGTCTGTGTAAGTCTATGGGTCTCTGTGTGAGGAGTCTATGGGTCTGTGTGAGACTACGGGTCTTTTTGTGAGTCTAAAGGTCTCTGTGTGAGTCTATGGGTCTCTCTGTGAGTCTATGGGTCTGTGTAAGTCTATGGGTCTCTGTGTGAGGAGTCTCTATGTGTGGAGTCTTTGGGTCTCTGTGTGAGTCTACGGGTCTCTTTGTGAGTCTATATGTCTCTGTGTGGAGTCTTTGGGTCTCTGTGTGAGTCTGTGGGTCTTTTTATGAGTCTATGGGTCTCTGTGTGAACTTATGGGTCTCTTTGTGAGTCTATGTATGTATAACTTCTTTCGCACCGTACGTAGCCAACCGTGCTAATCGGAGGTGGGGGAGGGGACAGGACAACAAACTAAAGACAAAAAGCAGTTCTAAAGAAATTAGTTTTCCATTTAGATTATTCAAAAGTGCACATAGCTCCCAGTGGCTTCCGAATATCGAAAGGAGGAACGTTCCAGACGGCCACAGAAGCGCGTCTGACAGGGTGCGATGCAGTGATCGTCTTCGTTTGATGGCCAGCCATCAAACAAAAAGCCGCCGTTAGTACACATCGCAATGCGTATCGATCATCACACGGTAGAGTCTAATAATGAATCGAAGTGTTGTATTTGAACCGTGCGAGATCCCAGTGAGAAATGCATTGTGCGAGTTGGCAGTCAGTCAATTGTACAGAGAGGTGTGTCATTGTCAGCGTAACAAAGACAAATATCCCCCCATGTAGCCTTAACAGTGCTGTTAGCGAGTAGCACCTATGAAGGCCGGCACGGTACACGAGGGGGTGGGTGGCCAGCACCTAGCCCGACCGCCTTTGTCTCCCTAGTGACGATGTTTTTACACACCGCCGACCTAGGGGAGGCACATCACCGGTTCGGATCGCCACTGGTGTTGGCCGTGAGCGGGAATCGAACCCGGGTCGCTGGGTTCGTCGGGCGGCCCGCTAACCGCTACCCCACCGCTCCCCATGAAAGTGTTACACACAAACACACACAATCAGTGTCACAGGAACACACTCGCATAGTGGTGTCAGTGCAGAGACAACCTCACACAAGCATGGCAATGTCATGGCACGGGTACACACAAGCGTGACAATGCTTGTGTGTGCCACCACAAAGGCAAAGATCCCCCGTATAGCCTTAGCAGACTGTAGGGGCAAGTGCTGTTAGCCAGCACCTATGAAGGCGGGAGCGGTACACGAGGGGGTTGGTGGCCAGCATCCACGCCCAGCCGCCTTTGTCTCCCCAGTGGCGATGTTTACACACCGCACCAGGTACTCATTTGAGGCTCAGTCGACCTAGGCGAGGCCCAGAACCGGTTCAGGCATTCGCCACCGGTGTTTGCCGTGTAGCGGGAATCGAACTGGGCTCTGCGGGTTTCGTAGCCCGGCGCGCTCACCGCTACGCCACCGCTCCCCACACGCACCTAACATGCGCCACTGACGCACACGCGCACACACGACTATCATCACAGGAGCTCGCCCGCACGGGCCACGCTGTAGAGGGCCGGCCTCCTCTCCTCGCGATGGCGGGACTCCTCTCTGGAGCAACGACACTCCGCCGCCGCCGCTGCTGCTGCTGCTGCTGCCACCTCCACCTGATCCACCACCGCCACCACCTCCTCCTGCTGCTGCTGCTGCTGCTCCTGCCGCTGCCGTTCCCGCTGCCCGGCGGCGGCGGCGGCGGCGTCGGCGTCGGCGGCGCCTCTGCGCAGCGAGCGGGGAGGGACTGCCCGCGGGCATGCACCTGCTACCACCGCGAGGAGGTGCACTGCACCTTCCGCTACCTGAGCGCCGTGCCCGCCGGGCTGCCGCGAGACGCACTGCGAATCAACATGGGGTGGGTGCGTTGCGTTGCGTTGTCGTGAGGTTGCGTTGCGTTGTCGTGAGGTTGCGTTGCGTTGTCGTGAGGTTGCGTTGCGTTGTCGTGAGGTTGCGTTGCGTTGTCGTGAGGTTGCGTTGCGTTGTCGTGAGGTTGCGTTGCGTTGTCGTGAGGTTGCGTTGCGTTGTCGTGAGGTTGCGTTGCGTTGTCGTGAGGTTGCGTTGCGTTGTCGTGAGGTTGCGTTGCGTTGTCGTGAGGTTGCGTTGCGTTGTCGTGAGGTTGCGTTGCGTTGTCGTGAGGTTGCGTTGCGTTGTCGTGAGGTTGCGTTGCGTTGTCGTGAGGTTGCGTTGCGTTGTCGTGAGGTTGCGTTGCGTTGTCGTGAGGTTGCGTTGCGTTGTCGTGAGGTTGCGTTGCGTTGTCGTGAGGTTGCGTTGCGTTGTCGTGAGGTTGCGTTGCGTTGTCGTGAGGTTGCGTTGCGTTGTCGTGAGGTTGCGTTGCGTTGTCGTGAGGTTGCGTTGCGTTGTCGTGAGGTTGCGTTGTCGTGAGGTTGCGTTGTCGTGAGGTTGCGTTGTCGTGAGGTTGCGTTGTCGTGAGGTTGCGTTGTCGTGAGGTTGCGTTGTCGTGAGGTTGCGTTGTCGTGAGGTTGCGTTGCGTGAGGTTGCGTTGTCGTGAGGTTGCGTTGCGTTGCGTGAGGTTGCGTTGCGTTGCGTGAGGTTGCGTTGCGTTGCGTGAGGTTGCGTTGCGTTGCGTGAGGTTGCGTTGCGTGCGCGCGCGCCAGCTCCGAGCGCACGGCAGCTCTCGCTGCTTTCATGATCATCGTCGAGATGATGATGATGATGATTATTGATGATTATTGTTGATGATCAGTAGCGTAACGAGCGTGGGAAAGCAGGGGGTGCCTTGCACCCCCCCCCCCTACCCCCAACTCCCTCTGGTGGTAAAAGCTACGAGTTGGGACGACTTGACAAACACTTTGAATCTTTCGGTAAAGTCACCACGTAGAATGAGAATAAAATAATAAATTAATAAAATAAAATAACACAATAAAATTCTCACGACGTTTCGGCCACAACACAAGTGCCCTTCATCAGGTGAAGGGACGAGATTGTCTCGAGGACAGCGCTGTCCTATTGTGTTATTTTATTTTATTAATTTATTATTTTATTCTCATTCTACGTGACTTTACCGAAAGAACCAAAGAAGATGAATCCTTGCAGTCACGAAAGCTTTAAATCGAAACACTTTGAAGGTTTTGAGTGTAAAAGGACAACAAACTTGTTTAAAACGCGGTTTAAAAAACAAAATCATGAAAATGCTCAAATGCTGTGATTGGGCAAGAGGAGCTGCGATACAGGATATAACAGCCGAGGTACGATCCTGCAAGACAAATCAAACATTGGGACCCCATCTGAGCGATTGCCACACCACCTGAGCTGATAATGTAGTTACCACGCCACTGATAATGTAATTACCACGTCACTGATGATGTAGTTAACACACCATTGATGACGTAGTTACCATGCCGCTGATGACGTCGTAACCACGTCGATGATGATGTAGTTACCACACTACAGATGATGTAGTTACCACGCCACTGATAATGTAGTTACCACACCACTGATAATGTAATTACCACGCCACTGATGATGTCATTACCACGTCACTGATGATGTAGTTACCACGCCACTGATAATGTAGTTACCACACCACTGATGATGTAGTTACTACGCCACTGATGATGTCATTACCACGTCACTGATGATGTAGTTACCACACCACTGATGATGTAGTTACTACGCCACTGATGATGTAGTTACCACGCCACTCATGATGTAGTTACCACGCCACTGATGATGTCATTACAACGTCACTGATTATGTAGTTACCACACCACTGATGATGTAGTTACTACGCCACTGATGATGTAGCTACCACGCCGCTGATGATGTAGTTACCACGCCGCTGATGATGTAGTTACCACGCCACTGATAATGTAGTTACTACACCACTGATAATGTAATTACCACGCCACTGATAATGTAGTTACCACACCACTGATAATGTAATTACCACGCCACTGATGACGTAGTTACCACGCCGCTGATGATGTAGTTACCACGCCACTGATGATGTCATTACCACGTCACTGATGATGTAGTTACCACACCACTGATGATGTAGTTACCACGCCACTGATGACGTAGTTATCCCGCCACTGATAATGTAGTTACCACGCCACTGATAATGTAGTTACCACGCCACTGATGATGTAGTTACTACGCCACTGATTATGTAGTTACCACGCCACTGATGATGTAGTTACCCCGCCCCTGATGATGTAGTTACCACGCCGCTGATGATGTAGTTATCACGACGCTGATGATGTAGTTACCACGCCACTGATAATGTAGTTACCATGCCACTGATGACGTAGTTACCACGCCACTGATGACGTAGTTACCACGCCACTGATGATGTAGTTACCACGCCACTGATGACGTAGTTACCACGCCACTGATGACGTAGTTACCACGTCACTGATGATGTAGTTACCACGCCACTGATGATGTAGTTACCACGCCACTGATGATGTAGTTACTACGCCACTGATTATGTAGTTACTACGTCACTGATGATGTAGTTACTACACCACTGATGATGTAGTTACTACGTCACTGATGATGTAGTTATTACACCACTGATGATGTAGTTACTACGTCACTGATGATGTAGTTACTACGCCACTGATGATGTAGTTACTACGCCACTGATGATGTAGTTTCCACGCCACTGATGATGTAGTTACCACGCCACTGATGATGTCATTACCACGTCACTGATTATGAAGTTACCACACCACTCATGATGTAGTTACTATGCCACTGATGATGTAGTTACCACGCCACTGATAATGTAGTTACCACGTCACTGATGATGTAGTTACCGCACCACTGATGATGTAGTTATCCCGCCACTGATAATGTAGTTACCACACCACTGATAATGTAATTACCACGCCACTGATAATGTAGTTACCACACCACTGATAATGTAATTACCACGCCACTGATGACGTAGTTACCACGCCGCTGATGATGTAGTTACCACGCCACTGATGATGGCATTACCACGTCACTGATGATGTAGTTACCACACCACTGATAATGTAGTTACCACGCCACTGATAATGTAGTTACCAAACCACTGATAATGTAATTACCACGACACTGATAATGTAGTTACCACACCACTGATAATGTAATTACCACGTCAATGATGACGTAGTTACCACGCCACTGATGACGTAGTTATCCCGCCACTGATAATGTAGTTACCACACCACTGATGATGTAGTTACCACGCCACTGATAATGTAGTTACCACACCACTGATAATGTAATTACCACGCCACTGATAATTTAGTTACCACACCACTGATAACGTAATTACCACGTCACTGATGACGTAGTTACCACGCCACTGATAATGTAGTTACCACACCACTGATAATGTAATTACCACGCCACTGATAATGTAGTTACCACACCACTGATAATGTAATTACCACGCCACTGATGACGTAGTTACCACACCGCTGATGATGTAGTTATCACGCCACTGATGATGTCATTACCACGTCACTGATGATGCGGTTACCACACCACTGATGATGTAGTTACCACGTCACTGATGATGTAGTTACCACACCACTGATAATGTAATTACCACGTCACTGATGACGTAGTTACCACGCCACTGATGACGTAGTTATCCCGCCACTGATAATGTAGTTACCACGCCACTGATAATGTAGTTACCACGCCACTGATGATGTAGTTACTACGCCACTGATGATGTAGTTACCCCGCCCCTGATGATGTAGTTACCACGCCGCTGATGATGTAGTTATCACGCCGCTGATGATGTAGTTACCACGCCACTGATAATGTAGTTACCATGCCACTGATGACGTAGTTACCACGCCACTGATGACGTAGTTACCACGCCATTGATGATGTAGTTACCACGCCACTGATGACGTAGTTACCACGCCACTGATGATGTAGTTACTACGCCACTGATAATGTAGTTACCATGCCACTGCTTACATAGTTACCACGCCACTGATGACGTAGTTACCACGCCACTGATGATGTAGTTACCACGCCACTGATGACGTAGTTACCACGCCACTGATGACGTAGTTACCACGCCACTGATGACGTAGTTACCACGCCACTGATGATGTAGTTACCACGCCACTGATGACGTAGTTACCACGCCACTGATGACGTAGTTACCACGTCACTGATGATGTAGTTACCACGCCACTGATGATGTAGTTACCACGCCACTGATGATGTAGTTACTACGCCACTGATTATGTAGTTACTACGTCACTGATGATGTAGTTACTACACCACTGATGATGTAGTTACTACGTCACTGATGATGTAGTTATTACACCACTGATGATGTAGTTACTACGTCACTGATGATGTAGTTACTACGCCACTGATGATGTAGTTACTACGCCACTGATGATGTAGTTTCCACGCCACTGATGATGTAGTTACCACGCCACTGATGATGTCATTACCACGTCACTGATTATGAAGTTACCACACCACTGATGATGTAGTTACTATGCCACTGATGATGTAGTTACCACGCCACTGATAATGTAGTTACCACGTCACTGATGATGTAGTTACCGCACCACTGATGATGTAGTTATCCCGCCACTGATAATATAGTTACCACACCACTGATAATGTAATTACCACGCCACTGATAATGTAGTTACCACACCACTGATAATGTAATTACCACGCCACTGATGACGTAGTTACCACGCCGCTGATGATGTAGTTACCACGCCACTGATGATGGCATTACCACGTCACTGATGATGTAGTTACCACACCACTGATAATGTAGTTACCACGCCACTGATAATGTAGTTACCACACCACTGATAATGTAATTACCACGACACTGATAATGTAGTTACCACA